GGACATGTTTTATTTTGGTTCCGGGTTTAGAAATTTTGAGATACTTGAAATAGTATGGCTCTGTTGATAAACATTAGTGACTGTATACTGCGGAGGACAACTTCTCGTTAATTCAGAAAAACAAAGCAAAGCTTCCATTGTTTGTAGTAGATTTAAAATTTGTATTTTTTCATCTCTGGAACCCATAGCCAGACAAAGTGAATCAGCCAATCAGCTTGCTTGATGCACAAGTCTGTGTTATGTATTGATTGAGATTTGGGAAGTGTGTATCACCTCCTGTGGTAGCCTCTGTGACCTATGATTACCCATAACACCCTTCTCTGCACAGCGCTGCAGAGTGTTAGTGTGTCAGTGCTGGGTTGGGTTTCAGGTTTTGGCACAGGGACAGCTGTTTGCAGTGTGTTGGGTTTCACTGGTTACAGTGCTGACCTCTAAACACTGACCACATAGGGTTAGGTTAACTGTTACCATAAGACTGGTCTCTTTACTGTAGATAACCCTTATGGTTAAAACTTCAATCAATCAATCAATCAAAGTTTATTTGTATAGCCCATATTCAAAAATGTAACAAGATGTGACATCCTCTGCCCTTGACTCTCAACAAGAGTAAGAAAAAACTACCAAGAAAAACATTTTAACAGGGGAAAAAGAACATAGAACCCTCAGAGAGAGCCACATGTGAGGGATCCCTCTTACAGGACAGACAGAAGTGCAATAGATGCCACGTGTAATGGAGAACATCAGCAAAATATAGTATTTGCAACATTGATTAGAATAAAAAGTTCATAATATAATGGAAAGTAAATGAATTGAGGAATTATTGTCCCCTCCTTGGTCAATGCTGCTTGGCTCTCCGGAGACCATCCTGGCTCGGGACCTGATGAGGATCTGCAAATGATAAAGCACAAGGACTCTGGAGAAGAAGTCAAGTCAGTAACATGTATTGATGAGACATTAATTTATTTGATGTGATAATAAGGGAGATGAGGAAAGAGAAGCTGTGTCATGTGTCCCTCGACATTCTAGACCTATAGCAACAGAACTAAGAGCAGATCTAAGACAGAACTGGACCAACTCTAACTATGAGATTTATCATAAAGATTTTAAGCGTAAAAAGTACTATAAAGCTCTTTTGGTAGAGCTGACAGAAAGCCCATTAAAAAGTTATAATAAACTGCTCATGATTTCGCTCAACTGTTCATCATGCTCAACTGACATGTCGCATTAAAAACAAATCACTCACATTAATATTTTCTCACCTAATATACTCTCTCTGTTCAGTGGATTTTGAACATGGTTCTGAACAAACGCATCTGCCAAATGAAGAAATGTAAATGTCAGCTGCTCTTCCACATTGTGTTTCCGGTCACCTATAGCTCAAGATTTGCTTAACATGGCATCATCAGACCAATGTGCTTTTTCAAAAGGGTCTGGAGCCTCTCGAATCATTTTCAGTTTCCATAGGGTGTTATCAATGGTGACAGAACAGACCAACAACCAATAAAAGCAACAAAATGTGTGACATAGTGCAGTGTGACAGAAAAACGTAAGCAGACTATAATGCATTTGTTTGATCTTCTTTTAGGGAAAATATATTGATTAGTTTGTTCAATACTGTCTCCTTATTGGATTCAACGGACCAGCCATCATATCCTCAGCAGCGCTTTCAGTGGATGCTGTATCAAACCTGCTCAGTTTTAGATGAATGGTTGTGATCAGGATGGATGGGAATTTGTGTAAATAGGAAGCAGGCAGGGGTGAGGGGGTACAAACCTACCTGCAAACACAACAAAATCCAAGCACTTGCTTGGTGTCCAAAAAAACAACACATTCTGTCCTTTGGCTTCATTCTGGTCTCCACTCTGGAAGTAACATGTGGCTCTCAAACAGTTCAATATTTAGCTAAGCTCATTAGTTAGTTGCTGACTGGGTCTGTGTGTTGTTTGATGCTGGGCAGGTTGTGTATCATGGTATCATCAGAACCTGCCCCTGAGAACAGCTGCTGCACTGCTGGAAACAGCTGGATAAGAGCAAAACAATTACAGACTATAAAGAGGCCAACATGCTAAAATGCTACACCAAGCTGATGGGAACTGCATTATTGAATTATTGAATTATTCCCCGTGGGTTCATGATGACAATAATCAATTGCTATTTGACACACAGTAAGTTTATCCTTTTTTAATGTTGATTATTGCAGTTTTAAAGCCTTTAAAGGTTTCAATGGAAATGATTCAAATATTCCCTCTCTTATTTCTCCTGTAGTTTCTCATTGTTATTTTCTAATTTTAGATATTCTTTTCTAAAGTCCTTTTGTAATTAATTTTGACTCAGCTCTTAGTGTTGTGTGATATCACATAGGTGACCCAGGTCCCTACTGCTGCACTGAAAGTCTGTTGTGAATGCTGTTGACTCCAAACGATCCTCAGTAAACTGGATTTGAGGACAATGTACCTACAGGAGGAAGTAGGTGCACCCCCCTATTTTTGCCATTAGGGGGCAGTATGAGCCTGCCCACATATCTTATTATGAGTTTTATTGAAAACCAGCTGATAAAACAAATGAAAAATACTTCAAGACATCTGGTATTGTTTCTAAAAATATAAAATGTACACAGCT